GTTGTTTGGATGTGTTTGCTTTACACATGTTCTTGGTCCTCACCGCTCGAAGCTCGATCCAAAGGCAAAGAAATGTGTTTTTCTTGGGTATGCAGAAAATCAGAAAGGGTATTGCTGCTATGATTTAGTCTCTAGGAGTTGGTATGTTACTATGGATGTCACCTTTTTTGAGTCCACATCCTTTTTCTCGAAAGATCCTTCTTAGGGAGAGTATTTTGGAGAAGTGAGTGAGCAGTCTATTCCTCTTCCAGTTCTAGTTCATGTGCCCACTCCTGTGTTTGATCCTCCTATGTCACTTATCTTACCACCTCCCTTACATCCTGCTTCTCAGTGTTACTCACGATAGCGACTCCACAGGGAGGTTGATCCCACTACAGAAGAACTCACATTACTTCCTACCGATTCCTTGGAGACTCCAAATTCAGCTGACATGGATTCAGGTATTCCTCTTGATCCCTCTAATGTTTCAGTTCCTATTGATTCTACTAGTCCCATTACAGATGACTTGGACCTTCCTATTGCACTCAGAAAAAGGAAAGAGAAAGTGTACTGCTCATTGTATTTCACAGTACCTATTCTACAGTGGACTCTCTCCTTCCTACCGTGCTTTCCTTTCTTCTCTTGACTCTATGTCTATACCCAAAGGTGTCAATGAGGCTCTCTCCAAATCTAAGTAGAAGACAACTATGCAAGAAGAGATGAAATGCTTAATTAAGAAATAGAAATGGGAAATTGTGGATCTACCAGAGGGCAAGGAGACTGTTGGATGCATATGTTTTATACAGTTAAATACAAGGCAGATGGAAGTATAGAAAGGTATAAAGCCAAATTGGTTGCAAAAGGGTACACCCAAACTTATGGCATTGATTACTTAAAGACCTTTGCACCAATTACAAAGATGACTTCTGTTCGGATCCTTATATCTCTTGCTACCACATACTCTTGGCCCCTATTTCAACTTGATGTGAAAAATGCTTTTCTGAATGGAGATTTGTAAGAAGAAGTGTATATGAATCTTCCTGCTAATTTCTACAGTGATGCTGAAAAGGGGAAGGTATGCAAACTGAAAAAGTCACTTTATGGTTTAAAACAATCTCCCAGAGCATGATTTGACAGGTTCAAGAAGGCCTTGATTGCTTTTGGCTACACTCAGACTCAATCAAACCATACTTTGTTTGTGAAGCGGAGGGGGTCCTTGGTGTCAACCCTGATTGTTTATGTGGATGATATTCTTGTCACAGGAAATGACCTAAGTGAATTGATAGTTCGAAGAAGAATTCTTGATAGTAAATCTGATTGAAGGTTACAACAAGAGAAGAGAAGATAGGAGAAGAGGAGAGAAGAGAAGAAAAGAAGGAAGGAAGAAGTGTTGAGGCAATGGAACAGTACTGGCGGCGCCAACTTCATTATAATATATAGGGCGAAAAAAATAAGAAGGGAAATGACCCTTGTGCCCCTACTAAGTGATAGTACAATAATAGATTAAAATAAAAAAGGCTTTAATCAGCCAAGCTGACCCTAACAAACCTAACAAACATAAAATCAATTATTTTAACACTTTCAACACTCCCCCTCAAGTTGGAGCATAGATGTCAATCATGCCCAACTTGTCACACAAATCATTATGCCACACATGATGAAGGCCTTTGGTGAAGATGTCTGCAAGTTATTCTTCTGAGTTGACATATGGGGTGCACACTTCTCCACTTACAAGTTTCTCTCTAATAAAATGTTTGTCCACTTCAATGTGTTTCGTCCTATCATGGAGGACTAGATCAGCTGCAATGTTGATAGCAACCTTATTATCGCAATAGAGTGACATAGGGTTGCTAACTGTAAAACCCAGTTCTCTTAACAGATTTCTTATCCACATGATTTCAGACCTGTACGGAATAGCAATCCCAGCCTACTACTTTTCTCAGTAGGTCTACAAGCAATAATCACAAGGGGAGATCCTTACACACAAGGCATCAAACCAGCAAGTAGAGAAAACAGGTCATACGTGACCTACAGTAGCCTTTCACAGGTACAGGATCACACAATCCAAAACAAGTAGAGGAAAAACCTCACAAGGGTGTGCCAACATTCAATGGTTCAGGTCCATTCGTTTTCCTCTTGGTACACGACCAAGGGAAGAGAAGAAAAGAAAAGAAAAAAAAATGGGGCAGTACCAATTGCAGGTCTGATTCGAACAACCCTGATGTACTCCTCTGTTCCGCCCAAATTCAACAGCTTGGAGAAGACACTTGATCACCCAGATTCAATGGCCACGCTCTGATACCATCTTGACAGTAAATCTGATTGAAGGTTACAACAAGAGAAGAGAAGAGAGAAGAGGAGAAAAGAGAAGGGAAGAAGGAAGGAAGAAGAAAAGTTTGAGGCAATGGAATAGTGTTGGCGACGCCAACTTCATTATAATATATAGGGCAAAAAAAATAAGGGAAATGACCCTTGTGCCCTACTAAGTGATAGTACAATAATAGATTAAAATAAAAAAGGCTTTAATCATCCAAACAGACCCTAACAAACCTAACAAACATAAAATCAATTATTTTAACACTTTCAACTGAATCTACACAGAGAATTTGAAATTAAGGATCTTGGGGAGTTGATGTACTTCTTGGGCATTGAGGTTGCAAGATCAAAACATGAAATTTTTATTTCTCAGAGGAAGTATGTTCTGGACCTTTTACAAGAAACAAGGAAGCTTGGAACAAAGGCTGTTAGTACTCCTATTGAACAGAATCACAAAATTAATGCATCAGAAGGTGAGCTGGTAAAGTACATTGGGAGATATCAGAGACTTGTGGGGCGACTGCTATATTTATGTATGACAATACCAGATATCTCCTATGTAGTGAGTGTGGTGAGTCAATACATGCATGCCCCACAAGTCCAACATTGGAAAGCTATTGACAGGATTCTTACTTATCTGAAATGACACCCATGCAAAGGCATACTATTTACTGATTATGAACAGTTGAAGCTAGAGGCTTATACAAATGTTGATTGGACAGGATGACTTAATGACAAAAGATCTACATCAGGAGTCAGCACTCTTGTTAGGGGTAATCTAGTCTCGTGGAAAAGTAATAAACAGACAATTGTAGCAAGATCAAGTACATAAGCTGAATACAAAGCCATGGCACATGGAGTTTCAGATCTTCTCTGGATCTGCTCCTTGTTAGGAAAGATTGGTGTTGAGGTAGAAAAACCTATGATGTTGTACTGTGATAGTCAAGCAACAATTAACATTGCCCACAACTCAATTCAACATGACAGGACAAAGCACATTGGATAGACATTTCATAAGAGAAATGGTGACTTCAGGGGAAGTTTGTCTTCCATGCATTGCTTCTGATTTGTGACTTGCTGATGTTCTCACAAAAGGTGTTGCAAAGAACAAACTAGAGCATGATCTACACAAATTTGGAATGTGTGACATTTACTACCAACTTGAAAGGGGGTATTGAATTGGGCCGATTTCAAATTAATTGGGCCCAGTCTTTTTATTTATTATTTTTAAGTTGTTAAGTTAGAAAGTTATTGAGCTTTAGGCCCATTAGTTTATGTTTTTAAGTTGTGACTGTTCAACTACTTAAAATAGTCACCCTACTAAGGGCATTCTTGTAATCTTTTGTTATTTTATTTTAAATATATAATTCAAAGAGAGGTTGGTGGCCAAATCTATTCAATTCTAACGACATCTCACTCTCTTTTCTTCTCCTCTCTTCCTCTCTACTGCTGAAACCTTTCAACTTCTACTTTTCTTCACAAGGCATTCATCTAAAAATATTATCAACAACTTCTACTCTTAATGCTGGAACCCAGTACCTGACCTTCTGTTGGAGTCAATAAAAAAGGAGAAAGAATACATTGTTCCTTCATCCATTGGTCATCAGCTTTTTGTTTTTTATGGTTTTTAATTATTCAACAGAGACACGGGAAACCATTCCCTTGCCTCAGTAGATGATTACATCTCACAAGCCCATCAATTCTTCAGGCTACGTTTGAACATAATTTTATTTGTTTGTTTGGTACTATCAACTATTTTTAATCCATATGAAAGCATCGATCCAGACCCAACTAACCTTGTCCAAAACCTCAGAAAATGATGGTATGAAGCCCAATACATACATTGCTGACACAACAGCAGCTAATGCCCCAAGTTCCAACATTGGCAGAAACTATAAGGCTTGATGCACGCACCAAATTGCTCAACTCCAAAGAGCATGAAGGTATGCTGAATAGTGGGTATGAGGGTGTTCTTGAAATTGAGAAGAAACTCGCTAATTCAGTTGGTTGGAGTGCCACCTCGGGCCAAGTCGACAACTGGGTGTATGAAGAGGCAAACTCCGAAAGTCAGCATTCATTCAAGATGAGGGATGCTCAACACAACAGGCTCATGAACACAAATTTAAACTCGTTCAGTAAACTGGTAAAGATTTTCTGGGAAGCAAATTGACTTGGGAATTGATTTATTTTAGCCATGCATGACTTTTCTCTGCATTTATGACTTGGGAGATGATTTGCTTGTAGTCATAAAACTTTAAGCACCATCATGCAGTGTTGTGGTCATTTTCATCAAGACCACTTTCAACAGTCTAGGCATTAGTCAAGACAAACCAACCACATCACCATTTCTTCCCTCTATCTCCATTGTTACAAACTCCACTAGAATAATTGAATTGACAGAATAGTTCAACAATTCATTGATGAAAGCTGATTAATCAGATTTGCACCAGTACATTGTTCTTTACCATCAAATTAAAGGCTGCCAAATCAACAGCTGGGTCATTCAGAATAAACATTATATTGTGTACCAGTTGCAGTGTTGAAGCCATTTGAATGTAGTTTTTGACATGAATAAACATCACATTGTATACAAGTTTAAACAGAACAGAATGATGAAAAATGATTCATGTAACGGATCACATATAGTTTGGATAGGGCTTGCATGATTATGATGATTGTGTATCAGTTGTAAATGCGTCAACATATATACCATAAGGATTTAAAAATTGGTGAACAAACAATAAATTCATCAAGTGAAATTAATGGACCCCAAGGATGTGAAGAAAGAACTACACATGGTTAGAGAGTTTATGGTTGAATTATATTGATTTTCCATCTCCTACCCTGCTACCCAATTCAGACAAGTCACTGCAAGTGAACCACTAAGACAAATAACAGATTTCCTTAATTAAACATCCCAAATTCACGCATCACCATTGATACTGCAACTTACACATTGGTAACATGGAGCATTCGGATGAACTGGTTCCAAAAATATGCCAGTAATCCTATTCTTGTAGCCCTGAGATGTGTAAACCCAGATATTAGATCTCTTAATAACTAATCAAATAAACCTCAAATTTGCAATACAAAAAATTATTAGGGAATTTCCAATAAAATAAGAGGTCATGATAAAGGAAGGGTGGTGAATCATGTGGCAGGGGTTGAAAGGGGTATTTGTGGTGGCTTTTGCTGGGTAAGGTATTACTCAAGTTGGTTGAGATGGTTTTCTTTTTGGCACCTTTGGAAGTGTGATCAGTTGAACTGATCTATTCTCTTCTGTTGGCGATTGTATTGGAAACCTTGACAAGATAGGCTATTCCTTTGGGGTTCTTTACTCGGTGTGAATCATGTACAAGGATGTAGGTTGACAGAATGACATTGTTTTCACTGTTGCGCTATTGGTCTTTGCACTTATTCTTGGCGGAAAATAGGGATCACTAAATTACTTGTATACTTTCTATTTTAACAAAATTTCCTTAATTGTCAAGGAGATATGTACATGATCAGAGCGAACATAGCTCTTGTCTTTTTTCTTTTTCAACGAGTAACAAAACAGATTCTATTGAATAAAAAAACAAACAGGTTACATTAAAATCAAATCACCTTGAGGAAAGTTAGCCTTGGCAAACCATCTCAAAAAATACATCTGACCACTTGACCACGGTACAATTGCACCCAATATCCCTTCTTTAGTCAAACCATGCATCAGCCCAAAATCCGCTGATGGTCTCTATCACATTCTCACCCTTATCCCTTCCATTAGTCTTTTTATTTCTCTCAAGACATATGTATTTCCATGGAACCTTCTTGTTGTCATTCATCCACCATACTATTACTTGTGAATCACCTACCGCTTCCAACTTGTCACCCTTGGTTTTCGCTATAAGTGGGTCACAAACTAAAGTTTCTGGATTTATTCATATCTCTAGTACCCAACTCACCTTCCAAGATGTTTTGAAATCATGTTCCTAACAACATCCACTCCTTCCAAGAACATTTTCAGAGCATTCCAACCAACCATGGTTTCATAGAATGTGTTATGGGATTTTGCACCTAGGTAACGGACAGTATAAGCAGAATATAATAGCTCAATGAAGCAACTTGGTGACAAAACCTTGGAAACATGGGTGGAGGCTTCATTGCCTTTTTAATGAATATGGGCTTTGGCATTTAGAGTCCAATGTTTCATATTGCAACTTTCAGGGATGAGGCACTGGTGTTCCACCTTAAAAACAGCAATCATATGAACACAAGGAAAACCTAATTCCTCGAACTTTAGACATGAACACTTTGCTTCAATGCTCAAAGAATCAAATAAAACGTTCCATCTAGATACTGGATTATCCCATTTGCAAACAAAATGTATACGTTGGTGGTCATTTATGCGCTCTCTACTACAACAAAGTTTGTTTCCTCATTTGCAATCATACAAAATTTCTCAAATGAAGCTTTCGTGTACACAGAACCCATTTGCTCCTTGTATAACTTCAACTGTTCGCCTATAACAGCCTTTTTAATCCTTGAATGAAAGTTTGACTAAACCTCCTGTTGCCGGCTGTTCACAATAACAATTTCAAAATTCCAAAAGAATTCCGTTAAGTTATTTCTACTAGTTAAATAACACTTTACATAGGCATTCTCACTTTTGCAACGTTGGGTTGTCCTCACACCAGCAAAAAAATGACCATGTAGATAAGCTTCTGCCCATTGGTCTCTTTTTCTATAAAGGTCATTGAGCCATTGTTGGTGACCTAGGTTATATGTATTAATCATTTTATTCCAAGCTTCCTCAAACTGCTCTGGGGCACCTTCCATGTGCATACAATTGTTAAAATCACCGATTATATTTGCACAATGATTCACCCCTTGCTTAGCCAAAGCATCCACCATCCCATTTGCTCATCTCCTCACCCATTGTATCCCCAAATTCATATTCCTGGTTAGCCATGTAAATCAAAATTATATTTGCACAATGACTCACCCTTTGCTTAACCAAAGCATCCACCATTCCATTTGCTGATCTCCTCACCCATTGTCTCAAATTCATATTCCTGGTTAGCCATGTGAATTTTTTCATTTCACTTCTTTAACCATTCTACCATCACTTTTGAATCCCCTTCAATCACCACATTTGTCAAGTTTAGCTCACTAACGATCTGCACCCCTTGAATTGCAACAAGCAGTTCCACTTTGAGGGAGTCACCATACTTGCAGTGCCAAAAAAGAGTGTTACCTCTCAAAACCCCTCCTATTCTAGAAGGGCTTGGATTACCTTGGTTACTCCCATCAAAGTTCAATTTAACAAAACCTTCAATTGGTGGTACCCAAACAAGCTCCACCCTATCCTTTCTATTAGAGCTTTTAGCAATTGCTTCCCAATTCCTCCAAATATCATCAAAATAAAACTGGGAAAACATCTCCAAAGTCTTGATCCAGTGGATCACACTAACCATCACACAAATCCTAATCTCTTCCTTGCCTCTCTCCTTCTCTGAGAAAATTCTTGCATTCCTCTCTTCCCAGATGGTCCAAATCAGGGTTGCTCTAACATATCTCCACATTATCCTTCCTCTCTTCTTTGGCCAAGTAAACAAAGAAGGATCAAATAACATATTAACCTCCGTTGGTAAAGGTCACCTGCACCAAAACAAAGAAGAAAAACAAAGCCACATATCCACAACAAAAGGGCAAGAAATCAGTAAACGAAGGCAACTCTCATTACTAGGTTTGCATAAGACACACCAATTAGGGAAGAGACAAGAATTAGGTTTTCTCTTTTGTAGCATCCCCATAGTATTTATCTTCTGTGAACTACTTCCCAATAGAAAGCTTTTACTTTGGGTGGAATGGGTCTACACCAAAACTCTTTAAAGGGAAATGAAGAAGCTAAGGAATCAGAAAAGGTCTTGAACAAACCCTTAGGGTGGGGGGCCCAAATATGCTTATCAGGTTTACTGGGGTCCAAGCAAACATTTTGAAGAAGTTGTAGGAGATCCACACAAGCCAAAAGTTCATTATCCCTAAGAACTCTGCCAAAACCAAAGTTCCAACTAATACCCACAGGATGTATTGGAGAAACAATGAATCTAGACACACACTCATTTTTGTACAATGAAACCGAGTATAAGGAAGGGAAGAGCTCCTTTAGCGGACAAGAACCAACCCAAGTATCCTCCTAGAATTTAATAGAAACCCTAGAGCAAACATCATACCTGACAAAATGAAGAAAGTGAGGCAGAACGCTATGAATAGCTTTCCAAGGCAAGACTAGAGTAGCTCTGTTAGATACACCTGCATCCCAACCTTCCATGTATGCTGACTATTACTTCATGCCACAATCTATCCCTCTCCATCAGCCACCTCCAAAGCCATTTCCCTAGTAAAGTCCTATTCTTTTTATCCATACTTCCAATACCCAAACCTCCCTCTTGAAGATTCCTACACACAACCTCCCATTTAACCAGGTGATCCTTCCATCACCTGGATCCCACAAAAAATCCCTCTTAACCTTCTCAATTTTCTTGGCTTCCTTTTGAGGGATTCTAAAAACTAACAGAAATAGATTGCCAAATTAGCAAGTGTGGATTTAATCAAAGTAATCCTTCCTCCTAAAGATACATAATTTCTCTTCCAAGCTGCCAATTTCTTTGCACATCTCTCCACTATGGGGTTCTAGAATCTACTCTCTTTAGGGTTTTCTCCTAGAGGAAGTCCTAATGAATCTATTTCATTATTCATCAAATAAAAAATTGTTAGTCAATATAGAGGAACTTCTTTTTGTACTCCTTTCTTTGCTACTAGATGACAATGTATTGAAACAAAAAAAATTAGCTAACTAATGTAGAGGAACTTCTTTTTTGTACTTGTTTTTTTTCTTTGGTACTATGTGACAATGTATTGAAACCACAAAATTTGGCTAACTTGGTGAGATGTTGAGTGAAATTAACTCATGACTCAATGTAATAACATTTTGTTACAATAAAAAGTTCAATAAGGTGTAGAACCCCTATTTGCAGAGATTTTTTTATAAGATACTTTGCAGAGAAATTTGAAGAACAAGCCTCTGATTTGCACATAAAGAAAAAGATTTCTTGCTCATTCTTATATCATCATCTTCTTTATTTCTTGTATACTACTCTTTGCATTGGTATCAGGTTTGAAGAATTAAAGGGCATTGTTGAAAATTGAAATTGGAATGTATTGTGTTCTTTTGCTTTTCCCCTTTTGTTGTTTCTTTATCCACCCTCTTTAATTTGATTTAGAAAAATTGATACTTCACTCAATTTAGTTATTTACTTGGCCAACCATTGATCTGTTAAGTCATTTACCTGGTTAGGGTCAACACTTCCTGATAAACTTGATCTGAACAGGGACATCCTTGATTTGATCGTTGAGATTTGAAACACTTATGTGATATCTCCCTTGTGATAATTTCAGGAATCTTTGGGGGGAGAAACCAAAATATAGTGAACAACTTTTTTTTGCATCAGTAAAAAATAGAGAACAACAATTGAAGGAGTAAAGTTTTGTGCCAGAGAGATATCAAATAAAAGAAAATTTGCTTCTGTGAAATACTTGCAGGCACTTATTGGATATTGGGAATTGATCCCCATTTTGACTCAACAGTCAACAAGAAAAAACTCTCCCATTTTGACTTCCATTTTTCCAACTACACCATAGTGAAATTTAATATTTACTAATGACTCTTCATTTGGCTAGCTATATTTAATAATTAATAACAACTACAAAACAAAGAACTTGGCACACATTGTAGATAGAGGGTACAAGGATATTGGATTCGTTCTCTCTAATCAAACAAATGAAATTAAAAGAGCAATAAAGGAAGTAGCTTTGGGTCTAAGCAGCAATTGACCCATTACTGGTATTGATAACGCTTGCAAAAACAGCAGTTGGAAGAGGATAAGAACAACAGAACTATTGACAGTAGGTCTTGTGAAGGCATTTTCCCCTTTCTGCTCTGTGAAAGGTCAAGACAGAATCGGATGAATTTCCAACTGATGAAGTATAATCTTCATCCTTTCATGTGCTAATTTTAAGCATGTGGAAAAAAATGGAAAAATACTTGTAAATCATCATAAATTTTATCACAAAATAAACATTGGTGGCTAGCTGAGAAAATAAACTTTCTTTTTTTCCTGCCATCTTTTCTCAGCCATATTTTGTCAGCAATCGAACAGAGCAAAAGTGTTAGACAGTGTATGCCCTTAGCTCCAATTAGAATGATGTACATTATGACATTTAACGTAAATGAATAAGTACACATTTGATTCATGTTATCATGGTGTGTTTCTGTGTAATACCCTTAAACTGGACACATATGAGACTCGTGTTAGTTTAGAAT